TAAGTTAAAATATATTTATTAAATTTAATTTATTTTTCAAAAAAATCAAATATTTTATAATCTATTTCAATTCATCATAGATTTGGATTATATACATTTTTTAAAATTTTATCAAAACTTGAAATAAAAGCGAATCATGGATTTATCCATTATAATTAATATTTTTATTTTTTTTAGAAAAGAAAGAAATAACATAAGAAAAAAAAAGAAAAGATAAATGAAATACAGTAAAAAATATTTTATTGATTTGAGAAGAAAATGACATAAAAAAAGAGAAAAAAATTATTTTAAAATGTAATAAATAATTAAATTAAATTAAATATTTATTTAATTATAAAACTACTCCTATAATTATTTTTATTAATAATATAGCAATATATTTTTTTACTAATTTAAAGTGAAAATTAATAAAGTGAAAGAAGATATTAATTTAAATATACTATTTTAAAGTGAAAAGAAGATATTAATTTGTCAATTAGTAAATAATACATGTATTTGTATTATATTGTCAATTTCACTTTATCAATTAGTAAATAATACATGTATTTGTAGTTGACAAATTGACAATATTGCTGTGTATATTTTTTTACTAATACTTAAAGTGAAAATTAAAACATGTATTTTTAATGCAAAGTGATATATTATTTTGTTTTTTTATTATCAAATATAAAATATTTTTTCTTATTTTCTTATATTAATTATTTTTTATTTTAGAATTTCTTTACAAATGAATAAGCTTAAGTAAATTAAATTTATTTTAATTTATATTAAAAAATAAAAATATTATCAATTAATCATTTAAAATAATATTATTTAATATTATATAATGTTATTTTAGATTATAAATTGGTTATATGGATTGTGAAACAATTATTATTTAAAAAATATTTTATTTTTTTATCCACCTCAAACCTGTAATATTGACGGGATTGAAAGATTCCTAAAGTCAACCTATAGTATGACCAATAACTAGCCGAAACTGGGCAGTCACATTTATAGATATTATTAGATTTTTAGGAGAATTATTAATTATATGAAAATTAATAATTAATATGAGATTAATTGATAATTAAAAAAAAATAATAATACTAAGAATAGAAGGGTAAAATCGCCAATGTTGAAGCAAAAATTGTTAGAGAGAGAATATATGACCATACCGTATGTTGACTGAAGATAGCCTTGATCCAAAAACATTACCCAATCCAACCCACCTTTGGATAAGACAATCTATAGTCAAAGTTATTTATAAAATTATTAATTTGCATAATATTAATAAAAATTATATTCAAATAATATTTTCATTAATAAACAATTTTCAATAAATATATTCTAAGACTACTACTTTTCTTGAATAGAATAGTTAATTATATGAATTATGGTGTACTAAATTATATGATTTTAGTTTCTTAAATTAAACAAAATATTATTTAAATTCTGAGAAAATTATTTTTAGTTTTTAATCATTGAATTAGAGAAATTATAATTTATTTTAAAAATTATTTTAATCTTTCTAGAAATAAAAAAGTAAGGAACTAAATGAATTTTATTCTATTTGAGAAACCAAAATTAGGGTTATCCTAACTTCCAAGAATCCAATGAAGTCAATTTTGCAGAATATATAAAGTATAAGATATATAGAAGAAAAACACTTTATTTTTTTAGTAATTATCATTTATTCAATTATTCTTTAGAATAAAAAACAAAATTACTTCGTATAGTTATTATTATAAAGTTTACTTCTTATCCTAATATTTCATTTTGTTGAAATATAATAATTTAATAAATAATTAATATTCACTAGATCTCCAAAACAATTGATGAGAATAATGAACTAGGTTTTTCTTATAATTAAAATTAGTTTATATATGATAAAGTTAAAATAATTTTTCATAAGAAAGAATAAGATTTTTTTATATAAAAATTAAAGTGTAAAAATTTAGCATATAAATTAAATTAATTTATTATATATTTTCTTATATATATTATGTTAATTTTGATATATATAAACAAAGAAAAATATTTTTATTAATATAATATAACATATACTATGGAAATTCAATTCAACTGCAGATTTGTAATAAAATATCCCAATTAAAAATCATTAAAAGTATAATTTACATAAACTTTATCAACTATTGTTTTTAATACTAATATAAATTACATAATCATTTCTCTTTGATAAAATTAGGCCGGCTTTGAATTTGACCCATTTGAACTTTATAACAATCTATTCAAAGATTCGTAAATAGTATAGTAATGTTTGTTGGTATTTATATATTTCTCTAACATTAAAAATGAAAGAAGTGTATTTTTTGAAGTAAATATTAGCAATTTTTATAAACTTTTACGTAGGAACTATTTTTATTTTTATCTTTTCAATAGAGTCAAGGGTCATCTGTTTAAATAGTTCTTAGGATCCTATTTTAAATATGGTTTTGGTGTAATGGTTGATAAATATTAAAGTTAAAAAGAAAAAAAAATGAGAATTTTCTATCACATGAGTATTGTTATCGGTTGTACTTAGCTGATTTTGCTTGGTTCTGCCTTTTTGTCATATTTGCCTTCATACTCTTCAGGATTTTCAATAACAGAATATTTGACTTTAACTTAATTTAAAAATATAGAGTAATCTTCATATTCTCACTTACAAATTTAGAGATAATATCATTTTAAAAATATTCTCCATCTATTTAAAGCCTTTGTTTAGATTGAAGAGTAGATTCTATAGATTGATGTGAAGAAAAATTAAAAAATACAATACAAATTGGAGCTGTTAAAATTAAAGGAAATGAGAGGAAAGTAAAATTTGTTTATTTATTATTAATATTTTTAATATAGTTTTTTAATTATTTATTATAATAATAAGAAAATAAATATATATTATTAAATTTTTTTAACATGTTAAAAAAAAAAACTACTTTCCACATTTATATTCGTTTCTTTACAATGATTTTTTTTCTTTATTTTATAATCACTTTACATTAAAATATGTGAAATTATTGTATTTCTTCGCCATCATGTTTCCGGCATTAGAAATATACACTTTTTTAGTTGAGTTAATTATTTCACATAATTATAAATTATTTTTTAATAATATGTAATTTATGAATTGGTCATTCATTTTGTCTTTTTTTTTATAAGAATAAAATTATCAATATCATAATAATAAATAAATTATAATGTTTTATTTTACATTATAAGGATTTGTGCTTGTATGATTTAAGAATTATGTTTTAAGTTCATTTAATATTTTTTTATGGTTTTGTGTTTAAATTTCTTTCAAAATGTTACCATATTAATGCTTTTGTCATATTATATTATATTTATGTGTAATGTTTAGAGTTAAGTTAATGTTCATACACTTGTACAATGGCATGAACAAGTTTAAAATTTTAGTTGGAAAACGTCTATGTTTAATATTTAATTTTTTTTCAAACAAGACTATTTCTGAATAAAAGAAAAATCTAGAAAAAAAAAGAACGAATAGAATGTCTATTTTATTTTTTAAACATTATATTATTTACTTTTAGTTATACTTGTTAAAATATATTATATAAAAGTGATCGTTATTCTTCAACAAAAAAAACATTATTTTCTTTCAATATATTTTTGTAAAAATAAAGACAACAAAATACACTTTCACAACACAATAGATTAAAATAAGTTTAGAGACAACGCTTTTATTGAACAAATGAGAGTGAAAGATTTAGAAGGAGCAGTTATCATGAAACCTAAACTTTACACATTCTGACACCCATTGCCCCATCATGTCTCCCCCACTAAATTTATGACAAGGGTTTCTTCAAATTTAACTGCTTTGATGTGAACATTTTCAAATGATGCAAATATTTGAAAATTGAAAAAAAGAACAAGAAAAAGAAATGTGAACTTGATCTGTGTGCTCAGTTTTTTGTGCAACTTGTTTAAAAAGAGAGAAAAAAATTTTATGAAGTGGTGGTTCCTTAGGTTGGTTTGGCACCTTTGGATGCATCCTAGTGGCTCAGGAGATATCTTCTAAGAATTGGATGGATACAAAAAGAAGATTTGTACAACAAATTGATAAAAATTCAAACATCAATCAATTTTCATAATTATATTAAACGGTAAAATAAAATATTATTAATAAATAATAAATTAATATAAAAATAAATAAATTTATATATATATATATATATTTAATATTTATTAAATTTTTAAAATTAAAATTATAAATATTAATATAATTAAATTTGGAGAATTAAAATTATAAATACTAATTTATTATAAAACTTTAACAATAATTATTAAATTTAAAAATAAAATCATAAATACAGAGTAATAAGTTAAAAAATTTAGATACTATAACCCTCATACCTCCCAAAAATTCAACTAGCACAAGGTGGGTCATACCAATTACTAAATTTAGTTATTGGTCATATCCTTTCAATTGATGAGGCTTTTGGTCTAACCTAAAAAAAGGTAATGTTACCAGTTTAATTTATATTATCAAATAAAATCTCACACTAAACAAAATATGTAAAAAATTATATATTTAAAAAATATAAAGTAATGGTATGGTAATTTTTGTTATTGACCGAGTTTATGTAACACACCCTCCCCAGAAAAAAAAAAAATCTCACATTTACCATTTCGTTGTCACGTCGGTTCATACAATAATCTTTTCCTTTACTTTTTGCCGACTAGCATGAAAGAGTTGGACCTGCAAAACCGCCATTTTCTCTCCACACACAACACTTGCGCAACTTTTTGCTTTCACATTTTACAGTCTTAACTCGGTCAATTTATTTCCCCACCCTTAATTGTGTTAGAAAAAAGAGAGTCAGGAAAATTAATTAATTAACAGAAGAAATTCCAAGAAATTATTGAAACCGTGTTTACAATAAAATAGTATTTCTTTATATTTAACTTAATAAATAAGAAGGTTTGAGTTACTTAGTAAATAAGGAGAGAAGTATTACAGCTGTGAGGTGTTCAATAAATCACCACCGACTGAATCTCATATGGCGGCGCCTGCGAACAATTTGAACCTTTCCATCGTTTGGTATATATATCAAACCACTCTTGGGGTTGTGGATTGAAGGGTGTTTCTGCATGCACACAATAAACAAGGGACCTAATTCCTGATACAAAGTGTATTTGATTGCGTTTACACGTGTTTATTAAAGGTGGCGAATCCTAGAGAGGGAAACCAGGTTGACAAGAACAAGGAAGGGATAATGAACAACACCGCATTGGCAAGACTATTTCCCGGAATGAATAGGGAGAGAGAGATGTCTGCTATGGTCTCAGCTTTGACCCACGTTGTCACCGGAGAAGCTCCAACAACCACTGATTCTTCGTTTCTTCTTCATCGTCATGATGCTTCTGTTACACCAACCATGCCTTCTTCTGCTTCCACAACGCCTTCTTTACCTTCTTCATCTACTTATGTTCTTGGCACCTCTTCTCATAAGAGAACTAGGGAACATGACACGCCATCATCCTTCTCACATGCCTCTTCTGTACCCAGACGTAAGCCCCGTGTTCAAATCTTTATATTACCATCTGCACTTTTTTCTTCAATTTTCTATTATTATTAGGTTAATTATACAGTAATAAAGAATACTTTCTTTAATTGTATGTTCTAACATAGAATAGAACAGTATTGAACCTAGTAAAATGAAGTGCAGAATAGATATATTGTTATTTTGTTTTGGTTGAAGTAGTTATTATCCATATGATATTAATACCACCACCTAAGAAGATAGATGCGAATATATACAGGTGGAGAAAGTTCAAACAATATGACAAGCAGAATAACAAGGGAAATGGGAAATGCTGTGTATGAATACAAAACAACAGAGAATGTGAGGAGGGATGAGGGGAGGAGGAAATACAGAGGAGTGAGGCAGAGGCCGTGGGGGAAATGGGCGGCGGAGATAAGAGATCCGTTCAAGGCGACGAGGGTGTGGTTAGGGACGTTTGACACGGCGGAGGCAGCTGCTAGAGCCTACGATGAGGCTGCCCTTCGATTTAGAGGAAACAAGGCGAAGCTGAACTTCCCTGAGAATGTGACTCTCCGGCAACCTCAGTTTGGTGTTTCCAGTTCTCCGACTTCTCTTGTGTCCATTTCAACGTCCACTGATCCAGTTGTGCACACACGACCTTTTCTCCCTTCTCAAGCTGCGAGCAACGTTTACGAGTATTTTCAGCTCTCGGGCTTCCCTACCACCAACCTTTATGATGATAGGATGTTTGTGACGTCTTCCATGCCTTCTCATCTTCACTCTTCTTCCTCTTCTACTTCTTCTTCTTCGCAGGACACTTCACTCTCTTCCTTATATTCAAGCCAGATACCGCCTTGGTCAGCTTCTGCTCCAAGCTCTTCGTCCTCCGGATGATTATTTTTCTTTAATTCGACTCTGTCTTATTTTTCTTCTTCATTATATCTCTTCATTTAAACCATTATAGCCCCACCTCTCTTATCTGTATTTGCATTGTCAATTCATTTATTGTGCCTGACAATGTTTATGGAGGAAGATAAATCGTCGTGTTCATGGTATTAACGTTCACAATTCAGAAACTTAGGCTGGCAGTAAAATTAAATCTATGTTCTAGGGAAAAATTAAACAAGAAAGTTCCCGGACCTTTTCATTCACTTTTTTCTTCTAGTACATATCGATTCTTAATAGTTTTATATTTTTTTAAACAAGAATTGAGTGAAATTTAATGATAAACTTCACACTTTTTTTTCAACCACACCGAATTTTAAGATTTTTTTTTTACTATTAGGGCTAAACTAATTTTGAGAGTTACATATGTTATTTTTTTTTTAGTAACAGTCATTTATTTCATCTTCTTTTCCACTAATACTAATTGATGTCTTAAAAAGGAATATAGAAAATAATATTTGAGGCAGATTATGAAGTTAAGAACTAAAAGCATTGTTGAAATCTTACAAAAAGAATATAACCGCTGGCTAATTACTCTTCTGACATTGCATGTTAGTAACGTGGGCAGAGAAAAATGGCTTTGACATTTGTTCCACCGAACGGCTTAGCATTGAATTTCTTACTAGAAAGGCAGCAACATCTTCCTCTCGCAAATTCTTTTATTCGTTTTAATTACCCAAAAGTCGTTATCACAACTTGAAATTCAAACATTCATTCGGCGCATTATAATATTCATCTTGTTGACCTTAGAATTTTCGTTCAAATCTCTAGTTGAAAGAAAATCCAAATGCCTCCTTTAAGCACTCATGTATAAAAAAAAATGGAAGTTAAAGGTAAGATGAACCATACACTAAGTTTAAAAGGAGCAAACCCTGAATTTGACAGCAACCATCCTGGGTTTTGACTGCCATGGAATATATTCAACGTTGATCGACTACGTAAGCACAAATTCGTTCACAAAAGGTTCACAAAGTGAAAGTTAAGGGAACATACGTAGACACACGTGAAGATCATTATAAAACACGAAAACAAATTAGTGTGAACCAAGGTTGGTAGAGCCTTACTATTATAATTCTTCCTTGCGTCTGAGCAACGTAACTCGAAAATAAATTTCATTTTAAAGCTTCCTTCTGATCTTTACACGTCCCTCTCACAATAGAGGGAGAGAAATTATATGCACACTGAAGCCACACGTAAGAGCTCAGTGGCGTGTAAAACACAGAAAACAATGATAAGTTGTGCAAGTAACACAGTTGTTCAAGTAATAATAACTTTTACACAAGAACATTGACTCGATCGTTTATTATGAGGTTTAAATATTATTTGAAAAAAATGACACTTGCGTTTATGATGAGTAATTGCATAGTCATATTTTGACCTTCTAATCTTAATTTCCATATTGACATTTACATTTATGATGAAATTTCATTAGTCTTTAACTCAAGCAGAGCATTGATCGTAGGAATCAGCCAATCAAGGTCATGCACAATGGTGACCAAATTGATTGTTGCACACCCAGGATCCCTAATCATCGAAAGGCAGGATCCATAAGTCCCATGTCAAAGTAAGGAGAAAAGTAGTGCTCCGCTAAAAAAAACAATTACACTTTGGTTGGAAAATAGAGACAAATAAAGTGTTGGGAGATCCGACGTTGAATATTTTCTAAGCCAAACGGATGAAAATGGCTCTCCCCTTGATGAAAATGGATTGCTTTTCAATAGTAAAAGTGACTCATAACTAGCACTGGCGAAAATTGAAAAAACGATTTTCAAAGTACGCATTTTTTTTTTTCTATTCATTCAATATACACATGTTACAAAAGCGGTCTTGCTAAAGCCAATTTTCTTTGTAAGAAAATGGCAATCGATTATCATATGTTATTTAAATTTCTTCCTATTTCCACCCATCTTGATTCCTAAATGTTTTTTTCTTTTCTACCAAACACACCCTTGACAAACTCCGGATTTCTGTACTCGAACAAAAGAAAATGCAGGTAGCAAATGTTACGGAGGAAATAAGACACCCCGCATCCAAAATGCAGAAGAAACTGAAATAGTGCGGCCAAGGAATGCGGGAGAATTGAACGGACAAAAGAACATCAGCTCAGCACTCAATTTCTTCCCACTGACTTACAAACAAGACCGTAAGGATCCTGTCATAAGTCGGTGGTAAGGTATGCGCCATTAGTATACAACGTTAAGAAGCATATGTCAGCTCTACCATAATTTCATCATTGACAGTAAAATGGTAAAGAAATCATCGTCGTTTAATCCAATACCTAAGCAACCTAATCAGCAACAATTCAAATGAACATCCTGTTAAGGCACCTTCAGTCCAAAATCACACTATATTGGGGTTCTCCTGCAGTTACCAGATAGAAGCATTGTGATCGATAGTAAAGGAAAAAGTTCAGCAATGAACCATCATTATACCTCCATATATTACAAAATTGATTTCCACTTATTACTTTCATACGAAAAGACCAGGATGTACCTGTAACTTTTAATAATGGCATGAACCTTCTTAAACCTTCAAGGCAGCTTTATGCACCATGGTTTCCTTGTGTATTTGATGGCAACTCTTCTCCACAAGATCGAGCAGTTTCTCCAAGTTCGCTGCCCATGAGTTAAGAACATCGTTGCTATCCTTGGCTCTTTGGAAACAAATTATTCCCACGGGTCTATCAATTTTCGCCACCAATGCCTTAGACACAACCATATCAGAAAGATGCTTCTCAGCTTCCTAAAATTTTGCAAGGAGAATTAGTTAGAATCTTCATAATAAAAGACAAAATTTGAACAGTTTGCAACATATATATTCATAAGTAGATTATTAAGAAACTACACAACGATCAGTTTGAAGTGGCAAATGTACTAAATCGAGATCTTTTAAGCCGTAGGGCAATACCTATTAGAAATCTGTGCAGGAAACACTGCATATATATTTGATAATATAACGAAGGCTAACTAGAAATTTAGGTTTTGTTTTTAAGTTCTGATTTGCAATTTGGTCCCGTTATTCATGATTTCGGTCCCTACATTTTATAAAGTCGAAAATTTTGGTTCAATCCTCAATTTTGCATTAATTCTTTATTTTTAAATTTTATTAATTAAATTATTTGTTGATGGAACTTTAAAAAATGTCAGATCTAGGGTTCAATTGGACCAAAAAAAGAAAAAGAAAATATAAGGTGTGCAAAACTGAAAGTTAGACCAAAATTGTGGATTTAAAAAAATTGTGGAGACTAAAATTGTAGAAAAAATAATATGGAGACCAAAATAACGAATCAGTATTAGAGTGAGACCAAAATTGTAATTTAGCCTATTAAGAAAAAAATTTCTTTGAGGAGCCAATTTCCCTGAAAAGAATATATGTAGGTCCATTGCTGACTAAAGCAGCAGCATATAACATGAAACTACCAAAGCAGGCCTCTTCTTTACCACTGATTATTATGAAATAACTAGTTCTTTATCAGAAACACTAGAGGCTTGCCCAAACACATTAAAAACAATCATTAACCTCAAAAAATCTTTCAGCACATAATCACAACTAGCATTACTAACCTGAACACTGAGACACAAAAGCTCTGCAAGTCTCTTTAGAGTAATCCTTGTATAGTATTTTGATATAACAAGAATATTCTGACAAGGTAAACAAAAATATACCACATTAATGCTCACGTCCTAAATCAATAAATCTTGAAACCTAAATATAAGACATCCAAAAAATGAGTCCCAACCAAATTGGAGGGAAGGGGGCAGGGGCAAGGGCAAAAGAAATATAACAATGTATTACATGTTCAATCACTCTTTCCCTCAGATCTTCTGCTGCTTTTTCACCCAAATTCTTTCCAAGGTTGTTCTCATTCTCAAACTCATCCTTGTATGAATCCCAAAGAGTTGTCCACTGGATAACCTCCATAGTGACCAACTGTTTCAACAGTAACCTACGACATGATATGTAACAGATGCGTCAAATGGGAAGGAAAGCATAACAAAAACATCTTACAAGGTTAGGAAGGCATACTTAAAGTTTGGAATCTCGGACAGATTCCTATCCTCCAAGGTGGAATTGAGAAGGCTTGACTGCATTGGATCATGTGGCGATAGAACCAAGTACCAACATATTTTCCTCAGGATCTACAGTAAGAAAAATATTTAGAGAAAAAAGAAGAAGAGAAACACAGTAATAAAAGATAAATCAAATAAATAGAAGGGAAACCCTACTGGAATCCATTCGGAAGGATTTTCTTTGATAGATGGAATCTCATATATTGCCTTGTAGCATCGGCAAATTTCAAGGTAATCATTTTTATGGGAATAATACCTTCAAGGAAACAGAAATCATAAGACAACCAAAAAAATTATGATCAGCTTGCAAGCATCCAAAGAATGCAACACCAAAGCAAATGAAACAAAACAACCATTAATAAATATCTGCGCATATTATTGAAATTGATCTTGAGAAAAAAAAAAAAGAACCTACTTAAAAAAGACAGTGGCTACTAGGTAACTCATAGTTTAAAAGAATTGAACAGGGAATCCAATTGTATAATGACTAACAGTAAATAAAAATCATTTGATAAGTTGTTTTGAAAGGGTCTCAACTTCAGAGCTCACAGCATAACGTATTTATAGAATGATAGTCATTCTCAAAAAATAATCAAGAGTGAAAAATGCATCTTTATGTTTGTAAGGTAGTATTCTGTTGACTTAAAAAATCATTCCTTAAATTTTTATAAGGTCAGTCATGATAGTTAAACCATTTTCTTTCATACAATTCCAAGGGAAAGAACAGTTTGCATTATATCAGGACTGTCAGGACTGAGCTATTACATGACTTAAACACCAAGTTTGGTAAGTTGGTTTTAATATGGTCAAAAAATGGGATATGCTTTTGATAAAACACTACACTAGACCCTATAAAATATGTGAATTGATTAGTTGGAAAGAATTAAGTGACTGTAACATAAGATCTGTCAAATAATTAGAAGAAAGTGGTATCAACTGTAATGTGATCTACTAAATTTGAACCCAGGTACTTCATTGCAAGCAAGTGCCATCATTGAAATAAAAAAATTATGCTTCCCACAAAGTAAAAAAAAAAAAATTCAGATTCGTCACAATTATATTCATTACACAAAAACTATCCAATCTAAAACATCCTGTTTCATGTTTTATTTAATGTCATGTACAAATGCATAAATTATGACAGCTTGCAGGAAACTCAACAAATCAACCTCCCTTGTCCTTTCAAAGTGAAACCATGACAGTCCATAAAACTTAAATCATAAAGAAGCTCATTGCAGTGTGACCCTATACCTGATGTATCAAATGTAGAAATTTTGCCTTTAACTGCACACCCAATTACACCTCAACAACCCTTCGAGATTTTATCTTTTAAATCATATGATATAAATAAAGATGCAAGGATTTCCAAAATAAAAACAAGTAAATTCTTGTTAACTGTCATCTCTAAGTCTATATATTGTCAATGGAGTTTAAATTAGGTAGTGCTCTTCTCCTCAGAAGGAGAAAGCATGCAACCAAAATTTTTTGGAAAAGATCTTAAAATTAGAACTAGCTTTTTTTCAATGAATAAATGCCTTGAAAATAGAGCTTCTATAGAACCTAGTTAGAGTATCTTCAACTTTTGTGCTGTGTTAGAATCAAAAGTGAAAAGAAAACGATAGAAGTAAAAGAGAAGCAAAGTAGAAAGCATGTGTTGGTTGAATGAATTGAAATAAGAAAAGCAGTGGAAATCTTTATCTACACTAGTTTGGATAAGTGAAAGAGAAAGAGGAAATAATATATAAACTGTAAAATATGATAATTAAAGAATTAGAGTTAGCAAAAGATATTAACTCTTTGCTATATTGTTTTTTCTTAACATAAATTATTTGATAGTTATTTTTATATTTAAAGTAAAAAATCTCTGATGTTTGATGGGAAATCCATTTATGGGAGCCACAGAAATTTCCCTTTTACTTCTCTCAAATAAATGGTTTGATATTTCCATCTTATCTTCTTCATTATCTTCCTCGCTATTCTATTTATACTCAATGCTCCAAAAACTTGTGTCCCACAAAAAAGAGAAGAGCTTTAAATCTATTTGGTACCCTCCACAGAAATAGTACAGAAAGAGGCAGTGTTCAATGCTTCAGCAAATTCCTGTCAATTCTAGGCCATCAAATCAAGTAAAACAATGAAGACATGGCAAAAGCAAAGAAAGCTTGAGATTCCAAGTTGCCTTTTATCTTAATACAGAATCCAAATCCATGATCAACCAAAAAATTGTAGTTCCGGAGATCTAGTTTAAAGATTGATAAAGAAAAAAAAAATTAAAAACCATTTTATTCCAAATATGTGGGAGCAGAACTGAAAAAATGATTAAGATGAAAAAATGATTCAATTGTAAGTTTGTCTAAAATCATTTATAGGATTTCTATGACGATAGTGGCACTATTTACCACTACTGATAACTATGTTGTAACAGAACAACATCTATATTTTAACATCCCCCACCAAAGCTGATACACTTGAACAAACAAAACAAGTAGGGAATCAGTTACCGAATCATTAGTTCATAATAGATCCGCTTCAACTCTGGTAGAGATGGTATATCTGCAGGAGCTTCTTCAACAACATTATCACCTTCTTTAGGTTTTTTCTTTTCCTTCGAAACATCAGCATCAAACACTCTCGTACTAATCTTTCTTGAGAGTATCTGTGCCCGAACATAATCCTGGCAGTCTAGACACAAACGGACCTGCACAATTAAATGCAAGAGAATACAAATCAACAAAGTTAGTGGGCAATAACTAATTTCATTGCTTAAGGAAAAAGTAGGATGCCCAGTACTTGTTCAAGAATGAAAGCAATTTTCTCAGTTTTTGCCATGGCACCAAAAGTTTCCACCTGTTAAGAGAGACAATCATGTAAACCACATGACAGCTAATTGCACTAACTAGTAATATACATCACAACATTTAAAATACACACTGACCGCAATTTCTTGCATCAAATTAGCAGCTTCAGTGATATGTCCTTGTTCTTCCTTAATTTTTGCAAGTTTCTTGATCAAACGAGCTCTCTCAATCTCAACATATATCTAACAAATAATACAAATACAATGCAATGTATATTAAATATGCTTCTTATCTTATTAGACTACATTGGAGGATAATAAAAAGGAATCAAGAGTGAAACATCATATGCTCACCTTTCCTGCAGATACACTGTTCAAGGTTTTGATGAGTTCTACACGAGTTTCAAGATCTGGTGTCTCATCAATATATTGCATAGCTTGCTGGACCATTGCTGTCACAGCCTGTGTACAAAGGATAGGCTTATGAATGAAAGATCATGTTTCTTGTACCAAACCAGTCCAGCATTTATTTCAAAACAAACCATGAAAAATAAAATTATAAGTGGTGAAAGACACATGTTCAGCAGAATGTCTACTCTAACTTTCCAACAAAAATCTACAAGGTCCTAGCATGCATAGTTCTTGCCAAAAATGCAAACATCCTTTCTTTTATCTAGTCACAATGGTAAGTTAAAAACATATTCCAGATTATATTAGTGAAATAGATCACAATACCTAAACTTTTACTTCAAGCGCACATGTCCCTTTGATATTTGGAACAACATTTTCAAAGACATTGGTTAACACACAATAACTAGAGAGTAACAAAACGCTATATTCTGAAGTAGATGACAACCAAATAAAGAAAAAATCATGGCCACATATACTAAAGCCCTAACAAAAACTAGATAGGTTTAGAAACAAAGAAAGAGCCCCTTACCTGTTTAAGCTGACCACGTCGTTTGGACAAGAGAACAATCTGTTCATTGAGGGTACTCCAGGCACGCGCTTCGAAGCATAGCCGTAAAATTTCGGTGACGGCGTTTCTCGTGGCGGCGACATCGCCGACGAGCCTCGCATGCTTCTCCGCATTCAGCAATTGCTCTATCTCCACGTCCAAATTTTCAGCGTTCCCCTGCAAATCCAGAAGAATAGTCAACTCTGCTACTCAAGATCCAAACTCAAGCATTCCAATTTTTTTTTTATTTTTTTTCTAAAACCTACTGCGAGAAGCTTCATAGGGAGGTATAGATAAAAGTAGAGACACAAAATGACATTGAGTAGTAACAGAGGAAGCGTATAAAGAAGAGTTGAGATCTGGAGTGTGAAGAACATTTGGGAAACTTAAGCACAGAAAAGCAGGACGTACCATAGCCATAACCATTGAAGTTTGAGACCTTGCGTGCAGGGTGGGGAGAAGGGAGGAACTTCTACTGTACTCTTTTAGAAAGAAAGGAAACACAGACAAACATAACATAACATTCAACTACTTTCATGGGCCTTACTGTTTCACTTTCCTGGGCCTCTGCACCTATCATTGGGGATTTTGGCCCAATTTGTTTCTATACTATTGTATTCAAGTGTAGTAATGGACAATTTACTATGAGCATAAAATGAGTTTATGAGATACTCTTCATTCTCCTACTAACTAATATCTCTCTTTTGGCACCCAATGATTTTTAACAACATTATTTCAGTTTTCTATTTTGTTTTTATTATATTAAAAATAGTAAAAATAAAACATATGTACCGATGAATGATTTTCGTAAGGAATGAAAAATAAATAATTAAATGAGTATTGGTAAGTTTAAATATATATTTTGACATCATGAGGGTGGGTACCATGATATCTACAACATACACATGTTATTATAAAATCATTTTATAACTTAGTTGAATAATAATACTATACAAAGTTTGTCCTAAATTTTTAAAGGTTTCTCAATTTATTCAACATACACAGATGAGTATTCTTTTGAAAACTGAATCGATGTGCAATTGAAAATCGGTATTTTTTTTAAATAAATAAATTTTAATTAAATCAATACCAAATTTTAAAAATTCAATAAAATTGATTTATTTTCAGGTAGAATTGATTTTGATAAAAAAATTAAAAATTATGAATTTTTAAATACAACTTATTATAAAAAATATTTTTTTTATTTTGTTTTATATTAATTATGTAAATTTTAAATAATAATTATTTTATTATATTTTTATTTTATTTTAAGGATTTTTCATGTTTTACTTTTAATTATATCTTATATTTATAATTATCATTCTAATGATGATTATAATGATCATAATTATTATTTTTTATGAAGAATTATTATTAATAAATTTATTATATATTTATTATATTATAAAAATATTATTTTATTAAATTTGATTACATTTTATTAAAAATTTTAAACATTTCATTATTTTAATCACTAGAGTTTTAAAACTAATGGAAAATTTCTTATGTTAGAATTTCTTTTAGCTATTTTTACTTATTATTAGTTAGGAATGTTTTCGTATCTTTTTATTGTACAAATAATGGAAGATATATTGAAACTGTTTTGCAAAAAAAAAAATTTAATAATTATTATGATTTCCATATATATATACTTGCACTATCATACATGTGTGAAAATGAGGTTTACTTTTATTTAATAAAGTGGATAATAATAGGCCAGGATTAAAAACTGGCATGTTCCATTTTCTTCTGTGTTGACTTAAAATCTTTAAATTTAAATGTTGGATCTTAAAACAATTTTTTTTATGTCAAAAACAGAAAGAAAATTCAAAACCTTTACACTATTTATTATTATTATTATTATTATTATTATTATTATTATTATTATTATTATTATTATTACTACTTGATTTTAAAAAGTCATTAGTTTGATGGGTTGATTTTAAGAAGTTTCTTTAATCTATTGTCAAAATAAATAGATGTCAAATATGAAGTTTAAAAAAAAAATATATATATAACTATATGATAGTTTTGTAACAAGGTTTCCCTAAGTCTTTGCAAATTTTATATTTTATTATAATATTCAATGTGCTGCAAATAGATGAATTTAGAGTGTGAATTTAATTAAAATGTTTAGAGTAATATTTTTATACATTTATTTTTATTAAAAAAATTAGACTAATATATATTTTTCTAATTAACACATCTCATCCGTTTAAAATGAAAATAAATCTTTATTGGTGAAATTAAAAGTATTAATTAAAGAATACATAAATCATGCAAATTTAAGCACCACATTTGCTTTGTATTTTGAAAATTATCATCTATAAATTGATAATGATTAAAGGCTGATTTAGACAAGTAAAGTATTGACTTTTGTGATTTATTGATTGCCATAAAATTATTATAGAAAGTTGTCTCCTAATAAATTTGAACCTCCATGAGATTAAGATAGAAACATAACACATCATGAAAATGTAGATCATGTTTCCATTAATTTGTGTTTTTTTTACATGATTCTCATTTCAATAGCATAATTTGCTAGTGTTATGATGAGTAATATGGCTACTAATGCATGGCTACTAATGCATAATCTTTGAGACTAATATAAAATCCTTAATGACATGAATGTGTTCCCACACCTTTAATATATCCAATGATTAGAAAGATCAGATGTTTTTAAGGTTGAGAATTTTACTAGTTAAGTGTTTTAAATATCTTGACATGCATTGTTTTATTTTTCAGCTATGAATTTGAACTTAAATATTTTCTTTCTTCTGTTACTGAAATAATTTAATATAGTACTAACATAATAACAATTCAAATATTTAGTGTTAATATTCAGTTTGTATTGGATAAAAGTGTTGAATAAAAGACCTAGAGTCAAACACATAACACATATCATTAATTTTATCAACACTATCAATAGTTGATGCCAGAATAATAGTTCTAGATTGCAAAAAAAATCCTATTTTTATTGTTGTGGAATGTCTTCCAGTTGTAGTTATTTTTGGAGAAACTGAAGTATTGCCCTTTTTTAAAAAAAATAAATTTGATGTGACATGCTACCAGAGTCATGATTGTTCATTGTTGGATTACCCGACTGACTCATAAATTTGGTTTTTGTTCCTCATTTGGTTAACTGAAGCTTACTTGAACGATTAAAAACAAAGAAACAAGATATTCCTTTGAGTCGTTTTTCCTTTCAAATGGGAATTTGGGTGAACTGTGAATTCTAGCATTTCTCATTTTTGTCAAGAATCTGTATTCTTGTGGAGTCTCTGAACTACTGACATGTTTGATTGTCTGCTTGCAGATTTCATGAATTGAGTTGAAAAGAGTCCATATGAAACCACTGAGGTGTTCAAATCTTTGGTTAAATTCCCATTTCTCAATACTTTAATGTCTAAATTTTCTGTTAGTATCATGTCCTCCCCCTTTTGATGAATCCCAATGACCTAATGTTCATTAGAATGTGCCTTTAGTTAAATGGGTTTGACATGTTCTTGACCATTATTTTAGGTATGCAGGACTTCTCCAAGAGAACATTATAAATATTCTTCTAAGTTCGTATACCAATTTTTTGTCATGATGACAGAGCAGCAGGAACACTTACCATTGATTCTGAATGTCTTACCATTCAAGGCAACTAGGGTGGGAGGGAACAAAACCTGACAATAAAGCAACAAAGGAAAGAAATTTTTTTTCTGCCAAATCATCATCATAATCTACAATAGAGAGAAAAATACTGAAATTGGGTGGCATTTATGGATCAGCAGAACAGTTCAGATGATGATGGATTTGATTCCTCTGCTGATATGCAGGTACTATTGATGGCAGTGGGTTCCTTGCTGCATAAAGCATTATTCAGTCATACACATGCAATGCAATCCATTCACTTGGAACTATTTTTTTATTCACATTGATGCATGCTCTATGGTTTCAGTGCATCCTTTAAATAGTGTCTCAGATTCTAGTCCATCCTGTTACAATGGAAGCTTGCTTTCCTATGAGATATAAAGAAAGCTAACAACCACATAATTACGAGTTGCTTTGCAGAAGTTGTGGCTTTATGGGGTCAGGAAATTAAGGGTTTACCTGATTTGAGTCATTATCCCAGAAAACACAGTTCTATGATCCAAGGAGTATGCATTGCATAAGGGTAAAATATAAAACTATGATGAGTTCAAATAGAAAAGAATGATTTAAGAGGATAATCACTAATTAATTTTAATGTTTGCTCTTAAAAATCACAAGTATCTGGATTATGAGTTCCATTCAAGAATTATGAATTTCAAGCCTACAGAGTATACGTATTTTCTCATCTTCACAATTGAGTCCAACTTCAACCTCGATGATCTGGTAGTTTAATCGATAGGTTTGATTAAACATTTAATAAACCAAATTCAAATAATTCATTGCATAACTATTTATGCTTACATAGAATCTACATAGTATTATTTTTGTTAATATTATATGCAGTATAGTTATATCAACTTCCACAGTAAATTTCATGCATATACATGGGTTCCACTAAATTTTGGGAGACTTAATTTCAAAATCAAAGTTAACAAACTAGTCACAACCATTTTTGTCGTTTTGGATTGAATAAAAGATGAAGGAATGAACTGTTATATATTGCTAAGTAAGAGAGGAAAAATGAAGGAAGAAAAACCAATATGGATGCAGACAAAAACCTATTGCTAAGCAACAACCATATAGAACTCAATTAATAACAGTATAAAGGATTGCAAGTTGAAATAAACTTCCATATATATTCATATATAATTGCATATGGAAAGGACGTGAACACAGTGTAAAAAGATGAAATTAACTGTTGCTTCAGATTATACATTTTGGCCTCTTCACAAGCAGTCATGTCTGTGCCAAGAGATACTTTATTTAGACAATAAAATCATGATTTTACATAGCACCCTTTATTTTGAATCCTCTACTAAAAAGTTAATTCAATTTTGTATTAAAAATAAAAAATCTATTTGGTTGCCTTCTGTTTTTCTTTTTTCCTTTTTTTTGAAAGATTTAATTGTCTTTTGTTATTTCTGTAATACATGAAATCGAGATTAATAGAGCATGTGGATTCGGATATATATATATATATATATATATATATATATATATATATAATATTATATAAATAAATATATATTATATATATTTTCATTTCATGTTTAAGCTGTAGTATCATGGGTTGGTCGCGAAAAATCGAAGTGTAAATTAAAATATCATACTATGATAGAAATAACAAATTTGTACAAACAGATAATCAAGAGAAGAATCTAATGTTTTGAGACTTGAGAATGAAGTTTAGCTAAGGCTGTTCAAAGACTTCAAAGACAGATTTTGTTTTCATAAATTATATATTAATAATTTGTTCCCATTAAAATGACACACGGACAGAAGATAAAAGATAGGTCGAAATAGCTATCTTGTGTAGTACACTGTACACATGCATATGTCTGGAGACGAGTTAATGATTGTATAGTTTTGACGAGGGTTTGGTGCTTCCAAGGAACAAAATTCAGCCATAAATAATTCTATGCAGTTGAATTCTTCAGAAACATCAACCTTTAATTTTTGTAGTTTTGACTTCTTAAGAATCTATAACATGATAAGAAATCGAACAAAGTGAATTTCAATCACGTAGTTGAGACCGAGAGTTTCACTGTTGCCAAAAAAAATGGTATTACTTTTATTAGTTACCTTATGTTCTAGCTAGATCTAGGTAATGACCTTTTTACAAAAAAAGCACAACTTATTATTGAAGATTAGTACAACTTTTCTATACTATATATACTTTTTCTTTACCAAAAATTTGCGAGTGTTTAATTGTGAATCGGTGGTTTCCTTGAGGCTGGAGTGTAATCCATGGAGAACACATCACCACCAACGTTAACATCCTCATCTTTTGGCTTAAATACCTCAGCATGCGATTGCTGATTGTGTTGAACTGTGCTTGCATCCCCACTAGTTATACTGTTTTTCTCTTTCAACGTTCGTGCTGCATAAACAAACAAAAAAATGAAACACATTAATAAAACCTTGACAGAAATTAACAGGATATTGAAATATAAGAATATATAATTTTGAATCCAGTGTTCTGACGAAAGAAGTACCTATAGTTTGGGTGGAGAAGAGGCAGAGGATGACGAAAGCCAGTAATAGAATGCGCTTGTTCTGTGAAACAGCCATCTTAAGAAAAGCTCCTAGACTTTGTGGTGTGCTCTAATATATCTTAATTGGCTCTTTATCTGAAGGTGCCATACCTATGCTCATTTCACTCCTATTTATAGACAAAATTGTAACATGCCATTAAGTACGTATCCATAGACAACAATGGTAATTTGTACATGAGGGTAATGGTCTACGAGGGTGTCACATCAACACTGTCTGGCTTGAAATAGATGGCTATCTGTGCTTTGTAGGGGGAAAAGATTTAAACGAGAAAAACAGAAGTCCACCATCTACATGTGAAACTCAACCTATATACTGCATACGTGTATTTAGGCCGTCTTGGTTTTCTTTTCATGCCCTTCTGATTCCTATGATATATTAATAATATTGTTCCCTAACTGTTCCATGCATGTTAGTTAGTGATAGCCTTTGTCCCTAAATCTAGAACAAAAGCTAAGGATTTGATCTTTTCAATCCGTGTTCTGTCACATGCGAGAAACTCCCATGTAGGACTCTTGTCTCTGTCCTCGGATTAAATCAAGGATAAGCAAACTAATTAAACAAGGCATTGTTATTTTTAAATGGGAAGTTCAAGCCCTTTTTCTTAATTTACTTATATATAACTGTGTATGCAGAGTTTAAGTCATAGCTATATGTTGATGTTCTTGCAAAATGGTATATTCTAGAGCAATAATAATAGATGATGAAAGTCTAGATGCAAGAGTCCTTTTTGATATCTGAAATTCACATCAGAACTAGTTCTTGGAAATTTGAAGTTACGCTCAGTAACTGATACCAGTTGAAAATCTGACATACATCTAGGCCAGTAGAAAATGACATTCATGATTCATGCCGATGGCTTGCTACAGTTTAGGAGAAAATATATGAAAATTTGAGTTGGGCCAGTGGATCTGTGTGCCAGAATGTGCAGACAAGATAACATCTTCAAGCCTGCAACATTGATGCGGGGCCATATGTCAGGCCTGCAACCTGTTTACCCTGCCAATCTGAGGCATCGTACCTCACCTTGTCAATCCTAATAATTTACAATGTGAAAAAGATTTAGTGAAACATTAGACTTATGCTATCACCTGCCAACATTTTGGCCTTCCTAATCAACAATTTCCCCCTCTTATTGATTAATAATTGGATGTTTTACACTTATATCTCTGTCTTTTGTCAATCAATCTCTATGATAAGGGACCCTTGTGGAAATTGTAATTAGTTAACTAATTAATTCTAAGTAATCATTCAAATGATTAATAGCACAGATAGTCGGAACCCAGGTATGCATTTTCCTGCTAATGATTCCAGCCCCTGATAAAGTCATGAGAGAAAACATTAAATATGTGGTTTTCCCCCTTGTAGAAGAAGTAGTTAATTAACTAATAAAGTTTCCAAGTTCATGCATTATTTGGGGGCTAGTGGCAATCATTCAATTTCTAGGGTGATGAGGGTGATGCCAAGCATGATTTAGTTATTAATTGCGTAGTCAGTGACAGATAGTGGTGGTTTTGTTTGTTGTGGTTGTTTTCTTGCCCTCAAGTTAGATTGCGTGCACAGGAGATTTGATTAATTAATGATGGAAGATGCAAAGCATTAATGGATGGAGGGAGAAAAGGCGACATTGGTGAGACTAAGATCAGTGTCAGATAAGACATTGGACAATGTTTTTCTCCATTGGAAGAGTAAGACAATAGACAGTGTTCGTATATATCACATGGGACGAGTCCAGCGATTATCTACTTGGTAGGCCTACCCTGTCTCTTGCAAATTGCGCATGGACCCAACATGATTTAGAGGGCAAATAAAAGCAATGTGATGATCCACACAACGTAGAGGAAGAAGAAGAAGAAGAATAAGCCACATCAAGTAGCCACGCTATAACGATGTGCAAGTTTCACCATACAGTTTGGTTCATTTGGCCAAACCATTGCAGAAGAAGCCAGAACTTGACCTTTGCTGCTGCTGCTGAATAATTTCTTTATTCAACATCAAACAAATGCTATTACTATAGATATATCTGGTGGCGTCAAAGTCCACACCATATACCAACTCAACATCATGAGATGGGTGGTTTCTACATCTTCACTTAGCTCCATAATTTATTACCATATTTGTCACCTCATTGTATTTTACATAATTATATGAAAAAAAATAATGTATAAAAATGGAAATGCTTTGGACAAATAATATTTTTTTTTATAACTTATTAAACCCTAATGGACAACCTAATTCATTGCTCACAGTTTTCACTTTTTGAATCCGAAATCAAATGGGCCATACTTATATTGCTTACAAACTTTTAAATCAATATTTTATTTGGAATTCGGTTATATTTAAAGTTTTCCATCTCTCCATATAGATGTATTATAAGTGACAATGACAAATTCTTTTTTTTTATGCTTTTAGGTAGAAAGTACACACCTTTTTATACAATATTTTTCTATATGTATATATTATCTTTATTTTTTTCATACAATTATTTTGATTATATAAATAATTATAAAAGAAGTTTAATAACCTTTTTATTCTTTAGTGCATATTTATTGGCCATGCATAAAGGCGAGATTAAAAGTTCTTTTCAATGTTATAAATTTTTTTATGATATTTTAACATGTGGCAAATAATTGATGGACTTTGAGATACTTTATTAAAATATCATAGTTCCATAATAATAGTTCTCATGTTAATCTTTATTTAACAAAAAAAAAAAAATCATACTCGTCTAGATTTTTTTTTCACTATAGATTTATCTTTTATTCGGCTTACTTTTTGTTATGAAATAGAGAAAGAATAAATATATTGACAATTTATATGGTTCATTTATCGTAATTAATTTTGTGTTTAGATAGTTAAGAGATTTACTATTTTACTTAATTGGATCACTTATTGAATTTTTCATATTAAAAAAAAGATACTACTATTTTTATAGAGTATAAATGCAAATTATCATATTTTGGTATAAATACATTATATTTTATACCATAAAAATTTATGTCTGCTTAGAATTTGTAATTGCATAGTTGGTCATAATGACAATACGACTTTTCTTTCTAAATTTAAACTGCAAAATTTTCACTTGGGTCATGATTTACCCTCAAGATATTAAACAATTCTCCATTTCACTCTCAAGGTACTAAAAACTAAGAAACTCTCCTACAACGCACACTATATAAATTTTCACCATGTCCAACCATGCTTGAACTCTTAGCTAGTAAACACAAGACTTATAAATTATAAGTTTATAAGTCTATGAAGTATGTAAGATTTGTGACAAAGAATTTATGTCTAACAAGAAGGTTGCAGACAATGAAATTTTGGAGAAAAAGATGGGGGGAAATATTATTGTTTTAATAAACAAAAAAAGTGTAAACAATAAACAATATTAAACTCAAATTGTTAATAAACAAAAAATAAAACTTCAACGAATTTGTATAATAATAGATTTTTAATCAAGGTTTCTTCTAACTCGGAAATTGACAAAGGCTCACTCAAATTTTAGCCCACCGTTAATTGATAACTTTATCAAACTCAATTTTAGCTAAATTCCAAATAAATAGACATTTACATCACTTGATTTGAACAATTATAATCTATCAAATTTGAATGCTCAATATTATGACAGATTATGATGGTTTTAAGATTTAATTAGTCAACATTATCATTCACTCTATTACTATTATTTGTGCATAGTATGTAAACACACACACATATATATATATATATATATATATATATATATATATATATATATTATTTTTTTACCGTACGTTTACTTTATCTTAATTTAATCAACGGAGTTTAATATTATATATTATTTTTTCTTTCTTATCAACACACATGCATAAGGAACAGTTGTCTGGAATGATTCAATAATAAGTAATGGAATAATGAAACGAACAGATATGTTTGGAATCTTTGCATGCTCCATAATTTGATATTTCTCTCTCAGTTCTCACCGATCTTTATTACTGAATTTTTTGCATTTATCATCTAAATATTTCCCTCATGATATCTAATTATTAACAGAATGTATACGATTAAATTAGAAAGTTTGACTGGAGGAGTGGTTTCTTGTGAGTGATTACTGGTTAATATTACTCTTCTTTCTCACTTCTTCGGCTCGGTTAATGTGATCACTGAGCGTTTTGTTTAAGAGTGTATGATTAAGTAAATTATTGATAGCTTCAAAACGCACTTTCTAGGGTGTATATATAGTAGCACGAAATCATGGGAATCATCTATAACTTCAAATTTGTTACATTTGTGGACATTTCTTTGTCTTCACGTGTACTATATACTTTGGTTGTCTGCATATACGTACTGTTTCATTTACCTTCATGCATTTCTACAGCTTCTTTCTAAGTTCTAATAAGGGAGTTTACTTCAATCATTCTCAGATGTTAATTACCACTACAAGAAAACAACATATATTGATTGATTTTTCAAGTTGATTAATGCTCCATCGTGGCTAGTTTTCAAATTTTTTACAACAACTTGATCATATGTCTTCTTTATCTTAGTTAGATATATGCTCAAGAATATATAACTCAAGTTATATATTTTACCTGAGGTAAACTCCATAGGAAGAGTATATATAATGTGATTCTGGGGAAGAAATGGATTTGAGAATGGAATAGATAGGGATGAATACATATTATGCGTCTGTGTTCTTTGTGACTGGCACGTCTAAAAATTCTATAAACTCTATCAGTATAATAATATGCCCCCTTAAACATTCTCTTAGCTCAAAAGCTATTTACATAGTTCTAAGTTCTAAAATTCATGTGATTACAGCAGCTTCTGGTGCTTGATCAAAACAACTAGGTGGAACTTCCTAGCTTCATCAAAGTTCAGAAACATTCTAGAAAAAGCACAGTGGATATAAAGTACTTTTTCTGACAAAACTGAAAAAAAAGAAAAGCTGAGAATTAATTATGAATTGGAGGATTCTTTTTTGCAGGAGTGTAGTCCATTGTAGTCAAGTCACCAATATCTTGGTCTCCTCCTTGATTTGGCTTAAATTGATTTTCGTGGCTCTTCTCGGCCGAAACTGGAGCTAATTCATCCTTAGTCTCTCTTAAACTTCTGGCTGTAAGGAAACAACAAAATTATACACTCAGATCAGATTACATATTTATATAATATCAATAATTAATTTGAAGAGTAAAATATGTTTTAACTCCAATATATATTATTAAACTTATATTTTTTTTATTGTTATTCATATTTTTTTCAAAAGTAATTATTGTTACCCGTTAATGATTACGTGGAATGTTATGTTAGCATTAACAATTTATGAGGCTTAAAATTCAAAATTTTATAAAACCCAAAACTAATGAAGTTAAATGAAGCACAAAAAGATATATATATATATATATATATATATATATATATATATATATATATATTTAAGCATGATTTGTAAAGAGAGTGGAAAGTAATTAAGGTCACCTGTGGCATTAATAGAAAGGAAGGAAAGGAAGATAAAAGCAAGCAGAAGGCAGCGTTTGGTTGGTGACATGGTTGAATGTATGGTATTAGTGAGAAACCTTGAACTTGCTTCAAATCTTGTAGTTGCCCTAGTTTTATAGGCAGAAATAGAAGTAGATTCCAATAGGATGTGAAGACATGTGGTGCACTGCACTCTTGAAGGACAAGAAAAACAATGGCTACAATTTTGGTTCAAATCATTGTCTCCTGCTCTGTCCTGCCTGAAAATGACACCCTTTTTGCTTGGAAAAGAGGATCCAAGCCAAGACCAGGAATGGCTTCATTCCCTTCATGTTATTTAGTTGGCACCTTGTGTCCCAAACACTTCGCACTTTGTTATTCGTTAATCAATAAAGATCTGCAACCTAAAATATGGTGCCTGCATAAAAGAAATTAAATAATACTAGTTAAGGACTTACTAACTCAATAAAAAAAAAACCATAAACTAAAAGTACCTAAAGGAAGAGAGAGACTCCATCCATCTTTTCTAGAATACCCTATGTACAAGTACTAGGGACTTGTAAGGCTGCATTTATAATAATGAAAAGATAATCAACCAGGGTTAGGTTTAGTAACTAACAGGTTATACTCCTTTCTGACGAGTGGGTTGAGTCAAGCTAGTTTAACTAGTTCTAAATTTTGGTTATAACATTTTTTTTTCCTTTTTACTTTAACCCATTAAACTCTGATAATTAGTGAGTTACATCGGGATCAAGTCTATTTAATAAGAAGAGATCAAATTGAATCCAAATATAAATAATTTCAAAGTTTTGTTTCTCAATACAATTTTTTTATAGGAATTTTACATGTATGATATATTAATGTAAATTAAATGATAGTTACTTATAATTCTTAAAATAAATAGTATTTACATAAGTTCAAAAATATAGACAAAATATGTTGTTATCGTAATTTATGAAATATCACACATCTATAAAGACATTTATATATAAAAAAAAATCGAAAATGTCAACACAGAAAAAGTTATAAATTTCATAAAAAAGAAATTCAAGAATAAAATATGTTACTTTAATATAACAAATCAATGTTTCAAATTTATATTTAAATAATATATTTTATTATTAAAAACTCTTTTAGATAATTCTAATGTTGTGTTTGGATGAGTAATTGAAAGAGTAAATTCATTTAATGAATTAAATCTTGTTAGAGTAAATTACTTGTTTGGGTAAAAAGAAAAGAAATTAAAATTTCTTAATTTTTAAAAGGTAATTCATATAACTAAAATAGAAAAAAAATTAAAATATCTTAAAAAAATAAAGAATTTGAAATTTCACTCACAAGGAAAGTAATCACCTCACCTGACCTCCGTTCTTCTATATCAGAATGACTCATATGCTACTTTCTCATGAAAATATATATTTATTTTATAAAAGTGATTTAAAAAAAAATTATATTTACTATTTAAATTATTAAATTTTACCTAATATTAAAAATGTAATTATTAAATATTATTTGAGTACTTAAAATTGAGTAATATTTATTTTTATAAAGTTTAATATTAGAATTTTATATTTTAAAAGAAAAATTATTTTAAAATAAATTTAATTTTTATTTAATTAAGAAAATTATATAAAATATTTAAAAAATAAAAATTATTTAATTAAAAGCAATTAAAATAAAATAAATTTGAATTTCTTAAAATTAATGAAATTATCCCTATCTTATTTTATTATTATGCTGTGGGAAATTAGGTAGAAAGTATCTCAACAAATTTGAATTGATTTGATAGGCATTAACCAATCATCTGCATTTGAATTCCAAATTAAATCTTAAATGATGTGGAAGATGATAAATTGTTATTTCCCTCTCCGATTACACTTGCAATATTCATTGGTTGCATATTATTTTGAATTTTTTATACTTAATTAAATTTTGATAGTAATTTATCTCATAATATTTTTTTATTTGTGTTTCTTGATTGTTGGTGAATATTCTTCCGATGAACTTTTATAACCATTACTAGCATAATTTGTTAGAAATCACGTATCGAAATAAACATGAAATATAAAATATAAAAGATAATTTATTGGTGAAAATTAAAGAAAAAAAATTATGGGTTGGAATAGAAAAAAACAAACCCCTTCTTCCTTCTTTTCACACTTAGGCTTGGGTTTATGCTTGCGAGTGCAACCCTTCAATGTATGAACGCACAATTTTGAGCATGACGGTGAATGACTAACTTTTCTCTATTTCTTTTTTATTTTTTCTCTTTGCTGATTTTTTTTTTGCTAATATTTTTTATATTTTTGTAGTTATTTCTTCTTTCTTCTGGTTTCTTTGTTTTTATTTTTTTTCATCCTAAAGTAAAAAAAAAAAATAAAAAAAATCATAATAACTAACATGAAATATATAGAAAACGTCAAGGTACTCCAATTCAATTAGGAAGAATAATCACAATCACAAATGGCCATTGTAATCGAAAATCGCTCATAGAAGTTACCATGTTACATTAGCCATGGTTACACAAAAATTTCTGACACTCAAGGAAAGCTAAATCCTAAAGGTATAATTTAAGAGTTTTTTTAGATAAGATAATAAGACAACGTGAAGACTGATCTAAGTAATTTTTTTAATTTATTTTTTAAAATTGATAAATATATATAATCAAATAAATAAAATTGAGTAATTTAAACGTGAATTGAATTCTGAATAAAAAAATTAAGTAATTTAATATTTATAACCTAATATTTTAAGATTTTAAATTAAAAGTAATATTATATTTTTTTATTGACTCGTCGTATACTCCTCCTTTTAGTTTTATTGGAAATACCTAATAATCTGGAGTGCAAAATCTGCATGGTTCTGGAAGCTGAAATTCAGAATCCCCTTCAACTGTTGATTGAAATGTAGAGCACCATACTATACTATACATAGACTTTGCTACTTCCTAGGTGGACCTATGAGAAGAGACAGACTTAGAAAACACAAGAGGAGTCTAGACCTATCACATGCATAGAATGTTTGGAGAGCTAGAAGGCCCAACTAAAAAATTTACTTTTTTTTATTATTATTATTTTATTTACTATAGTGAACCATCTCGGTAACTTTGCTTGAGATATTAAGATTTTAATTTATCTTTATTTCCTGCAATGAGACAAACTCATAAACTTAAGTTGTATTAAATATTTGGGAATTCAGAATGAACGGACGGAATATTCAGATTACTTTGTGAGTTGTTGCTCTGCTAGGGTTCTTCCTTGCATCACTTGATCTTATCAAGAATTATTCGATTCTTGTGGTGATCCTTCTTGGCTTATCAAATATTCTTATTTGTGGCGCCTACGGTATCTTTTATGTTTTTCTGTTTTCTATTTCTAATCAAATCAACTCTTAAAATCTAACCCTAAATTATTTCCCTTGAGTGTCAGTCGTAATATATTCATAATCCTTAAGAATTGTATTATTTTAGGCTAGAACCTTTTCAAAATGTAACATAATCCAAAGGTGCTTCCTCTCTCTCAGGTGCATGTGAGTGAAAATTTCTCTTCACATTAAATTTGACATAATAACTAGTGTGTGATCTGTATGAGTAGGTAATATAAAACCTGATGAGGATATTAGGCATTTTTTGGAAGGTTTGGCAGAAGAAATTCTGGGAAGCACACGGCACTTTGGCTACCACATGCATGGAGTGGCTGATATGCATCCATGCATACCCATATAGAAAAATAAAGGATATAGGAAATTAGGAAGTGCTGCATAGTGTAGGCACTCTCTTATCTAATTCTGTCCTTTTACAATATCATTTCCATTAATCATGCATAGTTCTTGACTAAACAAGAAAGGAAACCACGTAACGAACCAGAAAAGATTACCGACATTGATGGGGGCTATTCCTTCGTTTTCAAATAAGGCGAGGAAGAGAACAATCACGTGGGAGGGAGTGCTCATATATCAAATTGTGGGGCTCCATTGTCCCTTAATGCTCATAAATTAAACATCAATTTATATTCATGACAACTATCAATTGATGGAAAAGAAGGATTAGGAATAAATATATTAATAAACAATGAGATACACACCCTTTACCTAAGCAATTACGTACCAAGAAACTAAACTAGTTTTTTAATAATATAGCTTTTGAGATTCTTAACAACACACTTCATGTAAGTTATATCCTATTACTTTTAAACACTTTAATTCATTTTTATTCAAATGAAAATTTGTATTAACAAGTTGCTTAATTATAAATATTCTCTTTTTTTTTAATATTTTATATTTTTCTCTCACAAATTATACAATACACGTACTCGTTCAAATTTTAAACAATAAAAAGTACTTTTTTTTATAAAAGTTCATATAATATAGTTTATTAGCTCTTAACTAAAATATATTAGTTTTGACAAACAATAGACTACTTTTTGACTATTTGTTACATATTGGGATGTTTAGGTTGCTAGTTAATAGTTTAATTGTTATAAAACAATACCTAACCCAATCATTTTTATTTTTTTAAAAAATATATATGACAATAGAGAAAAACAATACCTGATAGGAATGATTCTCATCCCTAAACATAATTTATTAAAAATATTTATATATGACTCTCCTCTTATACTCTATTCTTTGAGTTCTCTCTCTATATATATTTTTACATAATTCACTATAAACATGATTGTTTGGTCACATAATTCACTATAAAAATACTTCTGGACTAAACGCGAAACTTTTAAAAGTTTAAGATTAAAACATATAATAAATTCATGTTATATTAACAAGTTATTGATTCCAGTGAATATTGACATAATTTTACCAAAACGTTAACAATATATAATAAACACATATGGCACCCAATTCTCTTTTATTTTGAAAAATGGATTTCATATATTTTTTTCTTATTTCTTCCTCTCAATGTATATGTTTAAACTCTTTTCCCCATCAATTCATACAAAATGACTTGGAATAGACTGATCCACAATCTAATAGTGGCCTAAATATCATGATTTATTCTACTTAGGTAATTGACTCGTCAAAAATGAGAAAATTAAAATTTTTATTTTATAAAATTAA